AGCCAGTCGCACTGACTGCTCCTGGGGCAGTCTTGCCCCATCCCCCAGCAGGAGGAATTGGGGGAGGGGTGCTCAGGGCTGGGGTACAGGGGTAGTGCTTACTTAGGGCAGGCTCCCTGGAAGGGCTACCGGAACTCTCCTCCCTCAGCTCCTACCTTCACGTGCTGCCTCTGCCAGCAGGCACTGCCCCCGCAGTTCCCAGCCAACGTGGGCTGCAGAACCAGGGTTTGGGGTGGAGCGGAGGCAGCACATGGAGCTCAGGAGCCGGGTATGGAGCCTGCCCCAGCTCCGCCAACCCTCCCCCCGAGCACCCACGGCACCCCCACCCCAGGTCAGCTGCCCATGGCACCCACCGAGCCACCCCCCCCCCCAAGTTTTAGTCAGGGGTATATAGTAAAAGTCATGGACAGGTCATGGGCCATGAATTTTTGTTTGTGCCCTGTCCATGACTTTTACTAAAAATATCCGTGACTAAAACATAGCCTTAATTATAACAGTTGGTTCTGGGGATCTCTGCTTTGGTTTTGCGTTCCCTGAATAAGTTCTTCTGATGCAAAAACAGAGGCAAAGAGAAAAACCCTAGAAACTAATTAAGCCAATTCTACTACAGCATGAGAAGAGAAAAAAAAAAAAAAGAGAGAGAGAGATGGACATCTACTCTGAATTCTCCTGCAGTACTAAAGATTCACAACAAAATGTATTTGGAGGATGTGGAGGTTGACCTTTGGCTGTCCCTCAGTTTGTATTAACACCAGAACACTTAGCTACTCCCTTGTAAGAGGTGCAAATCTTATCAAAATAAGAGGCTGCCCACAGAGCAGTATTTATGGTGTCTTCACTGCCAGGGATGAAGGTTATTCTCTGGGACAGGGTATTGCATTGTAGATTTTATGTCCCATGCTTAACAAGGAATGAAGAACAGAAGCTTAGACTCTTCCTGTTGGAAGAGATTTTGCAGACACCTATGCCCAGCTGTTTGGAACTGGAATGTTTTTGATGCTCAAGCCCAGATCTGAGAAATACTTGGGAATGAAGAAATCCACAGGCAAAGAATCAAATGACTGGACGCTGAAGCTAAACAAATTCAGACTGGGACTAAGGTATAAATTTGACAGTGAGAGTAATTAACCACTTGAACAATTTACCAAGGATCATGGTGGATTCTTCATCACTGACCATTTTTAAATGAAGATCAGATATTTTTCTAAAAGACCTGCTCTAAGAATTATTTTTAGGAATGACCTGTGTCATAGAGGAAGCCAGCCTAGATGACTGCAATGGTCCCTTCTGGTCTTGGAATCTCTGACAGTGAGATGAACTCAGCACTGACTATTTTGTTGCCACAGGGGAAGTATGATAGATCCCATGAGCTCAGACTGTCCAAAGAAGGCAAGGAAGCACGGGTTTGGGATGCATGCTGTTGAGCAGCTTTGATACTGAGGCATTTGGCTCCAAAGGATTTTTTCCTCGTGGAGGTTGTCTTGGTAGCAAGAGAAGTAAAAGTGCATAATGCTTCAGCACAACTGTCTCAGCATTGTTTGGGTTATCTGCTCTGAGTGCTCTTTTGTCAGGTGTTCTCGAGTTCCACCTTGTTTTCAGTTTCTATAGTGGACTGCTAAGAGGTAAAGATTAATGTCCCCCCGGCTTTCCATCAAAGGAGTAAGTCAACAAGGCTGTTTTGTTCACCACAGCTCTTGCAGCCATCTAGCTTTCAGCATTCTCTAGAAAAGCAAACTACTCAAATATAAAGGTGTCGATAAGCTGGACCATGGATGATTATAGTGCCACTGACAAGCTACATGAGCAGACGCACACAGACAGAATAA